ACCCTAAATGGCCTGGCATTCAGACCAATAAAAAGAGCCTGGCATCAGTTGTCATGTAAATAACAAGCTTTTAAAACAAATATTTCACATTCCAGCAGCGCTGAAAACTTCTGTTTGTTAAATCTGGTTCTCCTGCAGCCTGGATGACTGGGATTGAGGCTTGACGCCAGCCTTTCCCAGCCTGCAAAGCACCATCGCCATCCTCCTCCTCAGAACTGCCAGTTCTAAAACAACTTTTTAATGTTGAGAGACGCAGTTTGGGCTCTGAAGGCGAGCTGGATTCCTCCCAGCTCTGCAGGTGTTTCATGGAGAGCAGTTCCCGGCTTTCTGCATGTCCCCTGGCCGCGCTTTTAACAGGTAAGAGGATGCTTTGGCACGTGGGTCTGGCAGCTGGGATTTCCCATTTAACTTTGCACACCAGGGATATGTCCAATGCCAGGCTGGTGATACAATGACTTTGGCAGCGATACGTTGAACTTAATTATGGCATATTATCCAAAAGATGTTAATATAAATGTAACTAAACTGGTGTGGACCACTCTAGAAAGAGTGCATGTCAGGCGTGCTGGGGGTTGTGTGCTGAAGTCTTGTTTCCTGCCCAGAGCTGGCTTATTTTTGTAACACAGTAGTTTTCAGTAAGTCTGTACTGAGAAAAGTGCTTGGCTAAGGCTTTTACTGGTAAAAACAAACCAACCTAAAATGCTTTGCTCAAATTTTTACTGGCATCAGTAGATGAAATACTTTCCTCAGTCTCATGCTGCAAGCAAATATATAGTGATAAACTAAATTGATTCCTTGATTAATTAAAACACGTCATACATTCTACCAGAGAAAAATAGAGCATTCATCCCTAGAAATCTTTATGTGAAAAGATGATGTTTTTAATCTGCGATAGCCAGCGTGTGTGGACACATATCCTGTGGGAGGATGGGGCTGGGCAGAGCTGAGGCAGGAGGGTCAGCCAGAAACACAGGCAGTCGTCTCTGCAGTGGTCTCCGTTTGAATACATGATGCCTCATTTGGAAAAGACACGAGAGAAATGGGAGAGAAAGATCCTGTTGTTAGCTGCTGCAAAGTAGGAGGTCGGTCACAGTTGCACTAAGGTTTTGGAGACCGAGTGCTAGCTGGAGAAAGATCGGGCAGTAGGCGTCCCATCCATCACAACTGGGCTTGAGGTCCTTCTGTATTTGCTGTCCTGTGAACCTTAATGACAGCTGTTGGAGCTGTGCGTTCCTCAGTGCCCTCCCACGGCTGCCAGAAGCACTTGTCCAAACAGCGGTTGTCTCAAAACCTTTTGTCCCTTTCTTCTAAACCATCTTTGTGTCCTTGGTTTTCAGGTGGCACTGCACAGCATGAGGGTTGGGACCTGCTGGCCATCCCCTTTGGCAGATCTCTCCAAAATGCCTGGTACCCAGGGCTCTCCCGGGGAGGGGAAGAGATCCCAGGCTGCTGTTGGAAGCACAAAGAGGAGACGTGGCAGAGGGCTGATGTTTTGAGTATGCCACTACCGGTGCGTGCGCCAGCAAGCGGGGACTGGCTGAGTGCCAATGCTTACCCAGTAAACTGCCATCCCGTCACTGTCACCTCCTGGCAGCGGAGGACACTCTGGTAGATTCAGCATTCAGTGGGGCACGACGCACTGTGGGAAGGTAGTTGGCAGGGGGTCAGCGGTTTGCTGCACAAACTTTACGATGTAATTTACTGAGGTGTAATCACCACTGACTCCAAGACTAAAAGCATCCTTGTTAATAGCCCAGTTACTTCATGCTAAAGAATTGCGCCAGGTGGATGCAGATCTCTTTACATCCCTACCAGCTGGCTTACTGTGAAGGAAATCCTCCTGCAAGGAAGCCCTGAGAGAAGAGTTGTCCGTAATGCTAAAATTTAACACTACTTTTTCTCAAAACTTGCTCAAATTTTAGTTTCACCTGGCCAGAGAGCAGAAATCCAGATTGAATCTTATTAAAACATCCCATGGTTTATAACTGCTCAGAAATCCCGCTGCCAGGATGCTCTGCAACACTTATGCTGAGAAAAAGCTCAAGCCCTAAAGCTGGGGCTGAGCAAGCTGCTGGACCCAAGGGGAGAAGACATCAACTGAGCTCTAAGGACAGACGGCGTTCGGCCGAATGCTCCCGTCCAGACAGGCAAAACTCCCACATAAATCAACATAATCTTAATGACCGCATATAATCTACCTGCAACATATACACTACAGGAGAGGAGCCGCCATTCGTAGGATTACCCCAGTGTTATATTCGTAGACCTGGGATTTATGGCGCTGATGGGTGGTTTATACCTATTTCAATTTAAGGAATGTAAATGCATCGTGAAAATAAGTAGGAACAACCCAACCCCGGCATGTATGCCTTAGCATACCTTAAATGCCATATAATTACATATTCTTCTGGTTCATATTCATCCATCACCTAAAAATGTATTTACTAGCACGCTTTTCTAAGAAAGGCAGAAGCAGTATGTGGGGCTGCCTCCTCTCCCCCCCAGCAGTGCAGCAGCCTCCATCCCGAGGAGGTTCGCTGCACTCACAGAACAGATCCGGACGCCCTGCCTACGTCTGTCCTCACCGGCTCTTTCTGGGGGGCAGCAAGGTGAGGAAATCTCGCCCCAGTTCCACTTCTAAGCAAAGATACCGCCACTTCCTATCAAACTTCCAGGATCCAGAGAAAAGAAAGAAAGTAGAGGTTTAGGATTTGAAAAAGTGAAGCTGCTTTTGAGTTATGATGCAAAACCTACTTTTTTTCTTTGCCTTCCTAATATAATTTCCAAATCGATCTTTAGAGTTTCATGGGGGGGGAAGATGTTCAATGATGCAAGGCTGAAATTTTCTGCGACATTCAAAATTCCAAAATTTTATGGCCGACTTCCAAGCCTGCCGGTGCCGGGGTACGATTACCAGGGGAACTCAGGACCTTAACTACCGCCGCAGAGGCTGAACAGCCGCGGTTTAAATGTCACCGCTGTCTGCCGTGGAAAAATCACGCTTTTGAGCAGAACTGGCTGCCCTCACCAGGAGAAGAGGAGAAGTGCAGCTGGTCAAGCGGCTCGGTGCCCGCCGCGGGGGGCTGGCGGGGGGGGGAGCCGCCGGCCCCCCCCCCCCCCGGCCCCCGGGGCC